TCAACTCGCATACAGCCAATCACTCGAAGTACTTAACACGTCATATATATTGATTAATCATCCGCTATATCAGAAAACCACACATACCAAACTGTCAGATTTAGTTCCAATCATTGATTCAAGTTTCGTCCAGGACCTCGTATAAACTTAAATGGGAATGTGTTGAATAATATAAACCAGCTATTCACTTGAAAGCAGTTATCAAGTTGTATAAGTAACCGATCTCTAGACACATAGAAATAAATCATGACAATACACTGAAATGAGAACATAAGACATCTTTTTGTGACGAAAGCATTTCATGTGTACATTGCGTATTAGGAAAAAAGATGTTGAAAGCTGTAGCCAGTGATCTTTGAACGGTGGTATTGTAGCATCATATATTTATCGATATTTCCAGTGTTCAGGTATGTACAACCTACAAAATATGTCATATGCGAGTCGCAAGTAGCAATATGCCATATGCGAGTCGCAAGTAACAAAATATGCCATATGCGAGTGGTAAAAACGGCATATGCGAGTGGTAAAATGTATCATTTGCGAGTGGCAAAAAAGGCCTATGCCAGGGGGCAAATGTGTTTGTTTACTAGTGGTAAAACAAAGGCCAGGAAAACGGGTGTATGCGAGGGATGAAATGAGTCATTTGTGAGTGGTAAACATTATCTGTTAGAATGCGTACGGGACCGCGGTACTACAGGAATGCCAGTTTGATCAACGGCTGGATTCGCTCGTGTATAATAGCGTACGTTCAAACGAGTTTTATCACTGTAAAATCGAATATTTACCATGATTAGGAAATGGTATGTACATGGTTGGTTAGGATTGGCATTATGCTGTTGAAGCTTTTACTTTAGGTGCGATTTATATATAAAAATAATAGTAGCACATAGGTGTCAACGCGATCTAGTAGCATAGGTGTCGACCGGCGCACGCCACCCGGTACTCAACGATACAGTCAGCCAGTGTACGCTGATAACATTGTGAAGGTCGCAAATAAATGAAGCTTGAACTACTATTTCTATGTAGTTTCTATTGTTTATTATTCATTTGGGTGTTGAGTTGTTTGCATAGAATCGATGTTTGCTCTTCACAAGCACAGGAAACATGACAGCACAATAAGTTGATAAACGACCATGAAGGTGTCTTCATGAAACAGCCATCACACTCCACATTCACATGTGGACATTTTTTTTGTTTCGGTAAAATTAGTATGAACCCGTAGTCTGCGTGAAAGAATCATAGAATTATAATTGTAGTCAGTAAAAACGGGTGGTCACAGATGGGTCGCGACTGTAAAAGAGAATGCTTGTGTCACGCGCCGCCGGTTAAATAAAAACAACGGCAGGCTTCAAAAATAGTCACACCTCTGAGAGGTGTTAAATTTGCTACAAGCCAAATGTAAACTGTTACACAATTCCAAGATAAATACATCGACACGATGATAGTATGCGTGAAAAAATAAAGTGCATGTTGTGTGATGTCCCTCACACATGGAGTGTATTTACACGCAACCCCGATCAAATTAAATTGAAACAAATTAAAACAAATTGCCATTGCTTCAGCGGGATAGAGAGACAATATTTACGGGTAAATAGAAGACTTATCCTCAATGCCCCAAGAACTTCGACCTAACCACTTTACTTGTATAAGTAGTAAAAAGTTGTATGTTTCGTTAAAATAAGAATGGACATGTTAGCGTTGAAATAATCATAGAAGTACAGTTATCATCAGTACTCGCTGAATAGGAACTCGCACCAATGAAAATAATGGCTGGATTGAAAGTAATTTTGTCCCAGACAAGACATGAACAACAATTAAACTCGCTGTTTCGCTGGATTAACGTAATGTTAATTTTGTGGTTTGTGATTTATTATTATCTGAAATGGAAAACCTTCTACATTTTGAACAAGATACATGGACGTGTTGTGCCGAGCAATTGAAAGTTTCCAGAAAAAGTCTCCAAGATGCACAAATAAAATTGTGAAGAGCAAACATCGATTCTATGCAAACAACTGAACGAATTTTTTGATATAAAAACTCAAATGAATAATAAACAAAACGCACTACACAGTAGTTCAAGCTTCATTTATTTGCGACCTTCACAATGTTATCCACGTACATTGGCCGACTGTAACGTTGAGTACCGGGTGGCGTGCGCCGGTTGACACCTATGCTACTAGATCGCGTTGACACCTATTTGCTACCATTATTTTTATTTATGAATCCCACCTAAAGTAAAAGCTTCAACAGCATAATGCTAATCTTAACCAACCATGTACCTAACATTTCCTAATCATGGTAAATATTAGATTTTACCGTGATACAAATCATTTGAGCGTACGTTATTATACATAAGCGAATCCAGCTGTTGATCAAACTGGCATTCCTGTAGTACCGAGGTCCCGTACATTTTACCACTCGCATATGCCGTTTTTACCACTCGCATATGACATATTTTGCTACTTGCGACTCGCAAATTGGTACTCGCATACGGCATATTTTCTAGGTCGTACATACCCTCCAGTGTTTGCAAATCTTGCTTGAACAATACCCAAAATGAGTTATTCTTTAACTTACCATTGGACAAGTATGTTTAAGTAATTCTTCCAATTCCTTAAATAGCCTTCCGCCAAATAGACTATCTGACTCTCCTGTAACCGTGGCGCCTAATTAACAAGAATAGTATGAACTTATTGAGGTTGTTGGGCAATTGCTAAAAATGCTGTAATCGCATATTAAAATTAAAGATATGGTATGTTCTTACTGTGGGGTGAAAATGGAAATATTATAATGGGTAAACATAAATATTATGCACGAGCGCGTATTGCATAGAATTTGTCCCAGTTCAATTAGTTAACTCATTCATGTTAAGGAAATATTGATGTCATTGTTTAAACAAAAATGTACAAATATGAGACAATGTATGTCCACTAACACACAACAAGTGGGAGAACTGTATTTGAACAGCGAACCATACAAACTATGGAGGTTCCACGTGTGTAACGAGATATGCTCAATCCAATAGTAATGATACAGTAGGATACACAGCTCCATTTCCGAATTATCTATGTCTGATTTCAGTGATAATCGTTGTACTTATTCATCTTTGCACTTAAATGCACTATGCTACCAACTTTTCGAAAGTAAGTTTACATGTAGACTTGTGGGACCAGTGGGCCATTTAATAATTACCATATATCATGAATTTAACATAAGTGGAATGTTAATGCAACTAGTGTACTTTACCTGGATGACTTGAATTAGGCATGCAAGTAGTGTAATATATAATGAGGACATATTCTTAATGTGCCCATGTTATGACAACTAAGAAGTATAAGGAGCATACATACAGACAGCATTGCATCTGCAACATCATTTACACTGTCTCGACTTTGACAAAAACACACAACCATAAACTCAGTGAATGTAGTTTTTAATTAATGATTCTACCAATTCCAATGTTCCCGTATTGTAACATATAATTATCTAGCTACCAACTTCTCGGAAGTAAGTTTACATGTAGACTTGTGGGACCGGTGGGACATTTAATAATTACCATATATCATGAATGTAACATAAGTGGAATGTTAATGCAACTAGTGTACTTTACCTGGATGACTTGAATTGGGCATGCAAGTAGTGTACTAGTAATATCTAATGAGGACATATTCTTAATGTGCCCATGTTATGACAACTAAGAAGTATAAGGAGCATACATACAGACAACATTGCATCTGCAACATCATTTACACTGTCTCGAATTTGACAAAAAACACACAACCATAAACTTAGTGAATGTAGTTTTTAATTAATGATTTTACCAATTCCAATGTTCCCGTATTGTAATTATCTAGTCTGAAGATGTTCATAATTCAATGTCAAAGCAAACTAGATTGTACTCCCAGGACCCAAAGTCTGCCATTGATTCAAATATCGTATTCTCAATAGAACATCTACACTATTGTATGTCTTTATATACCAACATATATATTTACATATTAAGCTTGTTTAAAATATAGTTTTGAATAGTTTACATGCTCAACAAATCAGTAATGTGAAGAATCCGGTATGAGTGTACTATTTCCACATCAACTCGATACAGATATCTGTTAGAATATAACTGTTATGTTTTACAACGCCTCCAACAAAATTCCATTAACTTGATGAGTAATGAAAAGAATGGCAATTGTTTTGAACGCAACCCCTTCTGAAAATCTCATGACAAACTATCACTTTTTATTTATGAATACAAAATTAATCCCGTTTGTTTCCATTGCAACGCGATCTGCATATTTAGCAAAATGTAATCGTTGGTAAAGGGCAATCCGTCCTAAAAATGTAAAGGCAATTAATCCATAATGTATAGGTTACAGATAAAAAACCCTTCAAAACATGTCTATTTTGTGGCAACCAATCCTCCATTTTTACCTGTGTCAAGGACTTCATGTTTCAAAAAATCATTCTGATTTATTTATTTTGTCAATTTATTTATTTAAATCAATTCTAAATTAAATTGCAGTTTTCATTTCAACTGGGTTCACCCCCCCCCCCACCGAAATGAAACTCACACCAGATGATTTTATGAAAAATTGCCCATTAACCTTTGGAGTTCTAAAATGACAAACTCATTTTCAAAATTTCATTGAAAACAACCCTACATCGACACCAATATTCGATCGGATTGACCTTTTGTCGAGAATAAGCTTTTTTTCTCAATATAAGCCAGACATAAATACCTGCTTATAAGAGACGAACATAAACCAGAACAGAACTGCTGAAATATGAATGTGAGAGTTTCATATTGCAACGGAGGCACATGTGTGTATATTCCATAAGGAATTCATCAATTTTTACAAAAAAAATGTACAAATTGCTGACTTTTTAATTCATCGAAAAATAAACCCACGACCCAGTACGTCAGTACTGTGGATACACCTACCCAGCTTATTGTTAAAACATAGCTGTATCATGGTTCTATTATGTTAAGTAGAAAGTCCAGCTGTACAGCTGGGGTCTGGATGCTTTTGGTAAACGTGAGATTTAGATATTTTTTCGCCTAGCAATGACAGCTATTCTGCGATTCCGAAGCTGATCATTAAAATAGTACATGTGCATATGTCCGACATAATCTATGTGTGAAATTTAATATTTATAAAGGTATAAGAAGGTATAAAAGTCGACCATGGCCATTGATTAATCCCTTATACGCTTGAAACATGAGCCTAACTCCGATTAGCTATACAGATGTGGAATACTGTAGTAGAAACTGACAACAAAAAGGTCATCGGTTATCGGCCAGTTCATTAAAAAATAGGTATTCAGTTTTAGGGTTGATCAATTCTCGATAGAAAAAAATGCGTGTACTATTTGTCACTTTTGTTTAGATTCCCGCACCTTAAACACTATGTTGTTTTTATGTTATAATAATGCAGATTTACTTCAGAAAAAATAAGGAACCACAGAACAAATTAAATAACAGCGTGATAGTTTGAAAGACCTCATGTAATATTCTACCAGAGTATAGTCCTCATATGAGCTATACTAACGCTACTCAGACGGCTACAATAGCGAACATTTTCCACCATGCCTATGGGTATTCATTCATACATACATAAAGTGTCATCAAATAATTGTACACATACCTGAACTGTGTTTCATGACGTTTTTCAAAATACCGAGCATTTCCTGAGTGTATAGTATTAAGACTGAGATACGGAAAACGTACTTCCAATGAGGACTATGCCCGTGTGTAAAAAAATTTAAATACTGATAGTTTAATCCATCCAGAAATAATCATAGAAACCAGCACACACCTGTCAATTATGAATAAGCTTGTTCTTTCAAATACCAACTCACGTGTTTGTCGGAATTATTAAAACACTTTTGGATGAAAATTAAGCACATATTAAACAAACAAAAATACACTTTTTCAAAATAAAACACGGCGACATAAATGTGTTAGTCATTGAAGTGTATATTAATAGAACTTCTTTCGATTAATGCAACCAATGTTATGAAGCCAACAATACTAACAAAGTTGAGTAAAAAGAAATTAAACTATAGTCTGTAATCTGAACTCGTGAGTAAACATTATGATATAATATATGCCATCGATTTAACTGCACGATCAGAAAATAGTTTAGGATGTTCCGACTTCATTGAATTAAAATACTCCATCAGTTAGCAACATATCATTACCATCCTTAGCGTCAGTTCATGGAACATTTATTTGTATGTACTCCTATATGACCTTACAAAATGACATGAGTCTCAGGTAGCGAAGTTCTTTGTGGCCCAATTGAGTTTGGTAATCCGCATTTTGTGGTTCGAATCACATCAGAGCATTTTAACATATGATTTAAATAGTTATTCTTGTAAAATGTTTAAGGGGTTAGCATATGTTCGCTGGTTTAGTTTTTTGGACTCAATACACATACTGAAACATAAACTTTACCCATACATGTTATACACAATGATAAAGATCTTGTTTCAAACTTTGAAAATATGCATTTTTTTTTAATTTATGCAATTACCAAATCACGTGATCAAAGGAATACGCGTAACTGACGGTTAATGACGCAATTAATAATTAATTTACAGCACGACTGAATATATTTTTCCATGTAAATAGTATAGAGTGCTTCAGGTACAATGTTTTTTTTTTGGCAACTATAATCTATATTTATGTAGCTCTATTTCAAATGTTTGGACGTTAATACAAGTAAAAAAAAAATAACGTAAAAAAATAAGCAAAAAATCGAGACGAAGGCAGACGGAAAACAATTCAGGAACTTTTCTTCAGTATTCTATATAGCGGTGAATTTGATCAAAAATTGGCGACGATCTGACGTTTTATGTGTTAGAAATTGCGTACTGAATCAGTAGAACTATGTAGAAATTACTTTCGAGATAAACGCAAAAAAACGTCCAAGGTCAATGAATCTCAAATTGGGCCTAAAAATGTTGAAAAATATGAAGTCATAATCATTGAAACATGTCTGCCAATCGGCCAGCTACTAAATAATGCTTTTTAATGTCAGAGCTAAATGTTATACGCATTAAAGACAGGATGAAATGTGTTTTGAAATCTCAGAACAGCCTTATCGTGCGTCAACCGATAACGTGACGACTTCCCGCGAAAGTGACGTAGTGATTTGCATATTACAAATATGATGTAGAGGCGGAGTCATTCGG